CAAAATAAATTGTAGCTATATATATAGGGTTGGGTTCTGATGAGAAGGGAATTTATGGTGAGAAGCGTAAAAAGAGAACTCCACCCTTGTATTAATCGTAACTGAAAACATTAATGGGGTGCACCGAGATGCACTGTATCAATTACATTCTACAGCTCAATTTATAGGTGAACATTAGATTAAAAGTGATTAAGGGTTAAGATATCACCTTACGTTTTTTAACATAACTTATTTTCTCACACGATCCTTCGCCTATATAGGGTTAGGTTCCGGTGAGAGAAAAAAAGTTAAAGTGAAAATCGTAAGAAGATATCTCCACCATTAAATGTACATTAGGATGAGATGTACCAAGATGCACCATATCAATACCCGTATCAAACGTGTTTCATGAGTGAATTTGAGATTAAAGCTGATTAATGGTCCATATCTCTTCTTATGCTTCTTTGTTTAACTCTCATTCTCATATAATTTTTCGTCTATATATATTTACAAATCCATCTACAGTACCCAATTCTTTTTTTTTTTCTATTTTAAGTTGGTTCAATTTTTTTTATTGTATTTTGTTATTTATGTAAAATAAAAATCAAAGTTTGACTATGTCTATTAATAAAAAATTTATCATTTTCGATATTTATTTTAACTAAATACATATCAAGTTAAATACTTCATAATATAATTGTTATTTTTTTTAATTATAAACTTAAATTTATGGTAATAAACATAAATAATTAATTAACAAATTTTCAATATTTTAAGTATGGATAATATTAAAATAGATTGAAAAAAACTAAATATTTCTATAAATACATTGAATCGTAAAAAATATTCATTAAAACAAATTAATTAACACGTTTTATTTTAGATTAGTGTCGAAGGAGTTCCATCCAACTCTCGTAGGATTGTTTTCTCCCAAGACAAAATGTCAAAATCAAACCCACGTCGACTTGAGATAGTCAAAATTGGAGGTCATATAACAGAAAGAGTACATTTTTAGTTCCTATGGTTTATTAAGAATTTTTATTTTTGTCCCTATGGTTTAAAAATTGAGGTTTTAGTCTTTATAGTTTGTAATTTATTGCTATTTTAGGCCCTGAACTAATTCTTACCTTTTTAAGTACAAGGATTAAAATAATAAAGAATTTTAAAGCACAAAGACTGAAACAATGACAAATTATAAATCATAATAACGAAAATAACAATGGTTTACATACTAATTATAAATATGAATCATAATTATATTTTAGATTTTTTATATTTAAAATGAGATGTTTATCTTCTATTTAATTATGTTTATCTGCAGTTAGTGACAAAGATTCAAACATGAGATTTTAATAAGTTGTAATTACACAAAAATTACTTATAATCTTGAATTTTAAGTAATATGCATCAATAAACAGTACTTTATACATAAAAAACGATTTTTAAGAGTTTTTGTCAAATATTTTATAATACTGTATAGATTTATAAGAGTTTTGACATTTAATGCCATTTTTGTTATATTCTACAAAAAAAATTCAAGAAAAAACTAATAACTCTTTTATGAATTTGTGTATGACTCAATATTTAAAAACACTTGTTATCATGTAAAACGCATCTCTACAGTTACGGTAAAGTCTGTAACATTTGTGTAGGACGTGTCTTACGTCACGACGTGGCAAAACGTGCGTCATTTTCAAAGCGTGACTTTTTTTCAATTTTTTTACTTTTAAAAGAAATTAATTTTAATATGAATGATAACATGCCAATTTTATTGTAGTTGTAAATTTTGTTTGATTCAGAAATTGGAAAATATCAATTATCTTATTCTTTAGAGTAAATTATGGGTAGTTTTATGAAAATGATCCCTAAATTTCATTTATTACAGATTAGAACTTGTTGTATGTCGTTTTGTAACGAATTAATCCTTCCCTCTAAAGGTTATCCAGTTCCTCTAGTAACTTTGAAGACATTTTCATCCTTTTCCATCTTTTGTCTTTACTCGAAGGACCAATGTCGTAAAGTCCACATAAATCATAGAGATTGTAATCAAGTCTAAAAAATAAAAATATTAATTTTTTATACTTTGAATTTATATTAAATTAATTAATTAGTATATTTTAATATATATTAATTATTATACTTTAACTTTATTTTAATATATGATATAATTTTTCAAAATAATATGTATTATGTACGCATATGAACGTGCGTTCACACACACACAAAGAGACATACAGACAAACAGACAGACAGAACACACACGCGCATGCACACACACATACGCACACATACGTACATAGTGAGATTCACTGTTCAGAAGAAACCACCTTCATCGATCATTAGAATAATTAGTTCAATGGATGTAATTAAGTGAATGTTTATAACAATATTTTTTAAATTAAGAAAAATCTTACCACCCCTATATTCTATTCGGAAAAAATGAAATATAAAAAAAAATCGAGCGATGTATGTTACACTTCACTTCATTTATTTTTTCATCCATTTTTTTTTGTAATTTTCGGGTTTATTTAATATTTTCCTTTGAACTCAACTCTCTTTCTCTCTCTCAACACAAAATAAACAAAAACTGGAAAACCACGAAAAAACGGATGAAAAAGTATATCAATATGGATGTCAAATTAGTGAGAAGTATGATTGTTTTTTAGTGTAATTTATTTCGTTCGATTTTTGTTTATATTTTGTCTTTTTTCGAATACAAAATAGGTGGAAGAGAAGTTATTTTAGTTTAAAAAAATATTGTCGTAAACATCGATTTAATCATATTCGTTGAATCAATTGATCTAGTAATTAACATATATCGTTTTCTACCGGACTTCATTATATGTGTGTGCATGCATGCGTGCGCTACGCAAATAGACATAATAATATATATTTTTTTGAAAAGAAAATATATTGTATATTAAAATTAAACATAAATTATAATAACTAATATATATTAAAGTATAATAATTAATTAATTTGATATAAAGTATAAATATTTTTTATTTTATTTTTAGAATTAATTATGTATTTGGCCCTATGGTTTATGTGGGTTTTACGAAATTGGTCTCTCGAGTAGAAAATGTTTCATACTAATGAATTCGGTCCCATAACCATGGGTGGCAGGGGAATCCGCTGTTTCGACTACTACAATAGTATATTCTAACCAAAGAGCCTTTAGCCTAACGGTATGTGAGTCTTTGGTCTCCTAGGAGGTCAGATTTTCAAACCTCAATAAGAGTAAAGAGGGTGTGTGAATTTATTTGTTCTATTTGTCGTATATAAATATTAAAATACTTCAATAAAATATTATTCCATTACACCCTTCTTGGAAATTAAACAAAAATGGAAAAGGACGAAAGTCACCTCAAAGTTAATGAGGAACTAGATGGCCGTTACAAGGAGGGACCAAATTCGCTACAAAATGACATACAACAAGCCCTAATTTGTAATAAATAAAGTTCAGTGACCATTTTCGTAAAAAACATCAAACTATATGGACCAAATCCGTAATTTACTATACTCGTTAAATTGAAACCTTATACCTTCCAAAATTATCCATCGATAGTTTTTTTTAATAAGAATCTATACATTATCTACACTAGCTTTAAAAACAAATGTAAAAGATAATAGAAATTTAAGAATTAAAGCATATAAAAATATCCTTAGAAAATGAGAGTTAAGATAAAAAGTGGGCTTTTAATCACTTTTAATCTCAAACTCATTAATGAATCGTGCTTGATACGAGTATTGATCCGGTGCATCTCCTCTTAATATGCATCTAAAGGTGAAGTTCTCTTCTTACGCTTTTCAGCTTAACTCACTTGAACCCAACCCTTTATTTTAAATGATTAAAAGTCAGAATGAGACAACAAAAAGTCATATTTTTATAAGAAAAACATCATCGTCAACGATATAAAAGGTTTTGAAAATTGGTAAAAAGTTGTTGAGACATGAAAATGAATGGGAAGTTGGAGGGTGTCTTTCGACCTCAACCACTACTCAATACAAGTCATTATGGGTGTAGGTGAAATCCGTCGTTATATCAATTTTCAAAATATAAATAATTTATAAAATTAAAAATATCTTGGAATAAATTTAAAATACTAAAAGAGTGGGTTAGGTTATAACAGATAAGAATCTTTACCAAGAATACCAGAAAAACATAAATTTTGAACATACAACCACATGTTACTCGTATAAAAAGTCACCTCCCCAACCAATTACTCCCTCTGTAAGATCATATATGACAAACATAAACTAACTTATGAATCAGTTTATTTCAAAAGTATTTTTTACATCGATAAAAATTAGTAGTTATAAGTTGGTTTATCGAAATATAAACTAAATAAGTTTTTCCCCCTCAATTTCTTTCACTTATACATCTGATTAATATTAATTGAAATGTATTATTATTAATTATCAGTACTAATTATTAGGTTTTTTAGAACTAAATTAACCAGATAATGAAGTTTAGATGAAAGTAACAATTAATTCTATATGAAACCACGAACGTCAATTTGAAATGAGAAATCAAAACACAAATACCAAAGAAATCAACAAATCACATGACAATTACAATAATTTACTTCAACAAGATTCGAACTTGTATCTGGGGTGGAATAAAAGTTTTGCAAACCAACTCTACCAAATAAAACTTGTTCTCATTGTAGTTTTAAAACACATACGATGACACACAACAAATTGATACGATTACATCTTTCACGAACCTAAATTCTTTTACCATTCGACAAAGGAATAATTCGGTGTTGCTATACTAAGTCTGTCCTGAAACATAGATTTAATCCATTGCCAGCAAATAAAGGATAAAATGGAAATGAAACAAGTAGTGTTACCAAATACCAAGTCTTGCTTTCCACTATGGTTGGCCAAGTCAACATCTCCATTGAAACCTCAATGGTCTCACCAACCCCACCCACACCATCCCACCACCTTCCTCCATCATATCATCCATCTCCACTCTATATAAACCCATGAACCCCTTCAATCCATTTCATATTCTAACACCAACCATACATATATCCTTCATTTCACATCCTCACAACACACACCAATGGCAGCCACAGGAGAAACTCAACCTGCAAAACACCAAGAAGTTGGCCACAAGAGTCTCCTTCAAAGTGATGCTCTCTATCAATACATTCTTGAAACCAGCGTTTACCCAAGAGAGCCACAATCCATGAAAGAGCTTCGTGAAGTCACCGCGAAACACCCTTGGTAAGTGCTACGCTTTTCCCCGGATTTTGACAAATGTTTGTGGGGGCACTTCGTTTTTTAATTGTTTTACTTGTCTTGTGAATTGTAGGAACTTAATGACGACATCTGCTGATGAAGGACAATTTTTGAATCTACTTCTTAAACTTATAAATGCTAAGAACACTATGGAGATTGGTGTTTATACCGGTTATTCCCTTCTTTCCACTGCTCTTGCTCTCCCAGATGACGGAAAAATATTGGCTTTGGACATAAATCGTGAAAACTATGAAATTGGACTTCCAATTATTGAAAAAGCTGGCGTTGCTCACAAGATTGACTTTAGAGAAGGCCCTGCTTTACCTCTACTTGACCAAATGGTCGATGATGTAAGTTCTTACCAAATTTGTATATGTATATATATATATTGTTGATTTGCTTGATCTTCTTCAAATAAAAGATTAGATCATATAACTTTTTCATAATTGACTTACAGGTAAAATTCCATGGATCATTTGACTTTATTTTTGTGGATGCTGATAAAGACAACTACCTTAACTACCACAAGAGATTAATTGATCTTGTCAAAATTGGCGGAGTCATTGGCTACGACAACACCCTTTGGAACGGTTCTTTAGTGGCCCCACCAGATGCACCACTCAGGAAGTATGTCAGGTATTATAGAGATTTTGTGTTGGAGCTTAATAAAGCTTTAGCTGTTGATCCGAGGGTGGAGATTTGTCAGCTTCCAGTCGGTGATGGAATCACCTTATGCCGCCGTGTAAGCTAATCACAAATCACGTACTAAACTTGAGCATGCAATTGCAAGATTACAATGCACGACAACTATTTTCTTTAACGTTTCATATATTCAAAACTTGATAAAGAATCATATGTACACTTTCTCCTATGTAATTCGTCAAATGTTAATTAATGTTATTTTTCTTCATTGTACCAGATGTTTCATATTTCATTTACACCATACATATACCTTCATTTCAAATGTATGGAGAGCATATGTAGCCTCAAACTAAACTGAATCTTAATCATCAAGTACAGGGACGCCATATCATTTTGCAACCAAATAAACAGTGTTGTATTTTTTTTAAGGATTACTGTTATTGTTGACGTAACGTTTAACAAATTGAACCAAGCCAAGTCAAATAATCTCTTTGAAAATGGAGTCCGGAATAGTTAAAACACAAAAATGACAATCATAATAAAACGAAACTTATCTTTTAGTATGTTTTAATATGATACTTTCTAATTAAAGATGTCACATTATTATATATATTAATAAAATGATTTTTTTTATTAACCTGAATATCCAACCTGCTATGCGAGCTGACTAATGTCAGGACGACCACCCGTTTCAAGGATAGTTTGAAGTCACTGTATTTGAACCTCCGTAGTCACAAGATGATTTTTTATTTCTTCTTGGATTCAAACCTGGGACCTCCAATGTAATTTAATAAGAATTTCCAAGAATTTGCTTATAATGAAATTTTTGTTAAGTTATTTAACTTTGTCATAATGATTTATTGGAAATCATTTTGTACAGTTGTCATTATTTCCGGTCATATAAACTTAAAACTATATATTAAATATTTTACAACCTTCCTTTAATTTCTAAATACAAAAATATCAATTTATATATATCTTCTTTTACTTTTTTGAAATTATATATTAAAATTGGTTTTACTTTCCTTAATTGACTTGGGATCATGTGAGACCAAAGGTTTTTTGTGAGATCCGTGATACCAATTCTCAATTCTTGATTAGATCTACAATCTGACAATCTGAACATTAATAAGCGCCATGAGACTTCTCAATAATCACAAAATTGTCATCGTGCAACTTTAGACCATTAGATCATTAGCTTATAAAGTTGCTTAAGAAATATAAATTGGTCTTACGGGTCTCACAAAAAACCCTTGGTCTCACGTGAACACAACCATTCTTTAAGTATCTACTAATATTTATCTACATTAACATTTAAAACAAATGTAAAAGATTGGACAAATTTAAGAATTAAAAGGTATAAAACTTTACTCCTATTTTAAATGATTAAATTAAGAAAGAGACATCCAAACTGATCACATTTTATGAACATAACATAACATCAAGATCAATATATAGTTAATAGTTTATTAAATACTATAATAAAAACGAAATCAAAATTGATTTTTCAATCTACAATATTATTATTTTTTTACCATATTTTAATTTTAATTTCTATTTACTATTATATTTTTCACACTATGATAAAATTGGGTTTATAGAATGCTATCTCTGAGTATTTTAATAGATTTTTTTATAAGACTTGATTTATAGGATCAAAAATTAAAGCATCTTATCTAAAGACGTTGCAGTAGGTTTATAAGATATTTTTCTAAGGTATTAACAAGTTTTTTTTAAAATATTTTTAATAAAAAATGCCGTATTAGCTATTTTATATGACATTTTTGAGAAAGTGTTTCATAAACCCATCTTTTTCTAGTTAACTTGTTTTTATAACACACTTTTTCAAATAGTGTTCTATAAATATTTAATATGACGTTTTTTATATAAAAAAATGGTCCTAAAAACTTACTATGATGCCTAAAAACATTCTATAATATTATAACGTCTTTGTATATGTCCTTAATTTTTAAATTCTATAAATTAAGTATTATAAAACGGTCTATGATAAAGCTTATAAATTTTACACGTCCTATAAATACAATTTTATTATATTGTCATTTCAATAACATTTCAGATATCGAATAGTAGACATATCTATACTATCTTATAAAGCAAATTTAACAAAAGTCTTAAAAGTCTTAAAGTCTTAAAATACTAAATGACCAAGATACTCTTCATATCACATTTTCACATTTTCACCCCCTCCACTCTTCACATACACTCACCCTCTTACAACCCATTTTTTTAAATTATAATTTTAAATTTACATTTTATACCCCTATAATTAGTTAATTAATTTATTTTACGTCCTTTACTTTTAAATATTTCATTTTAAACATTTATCAAATTAATATACATAATCGTATATCAATTAAAACATGTTTAAAAAACATATTTTTATTTTAACAAGTTACACCATTATAATCGTCTCGTTAATACATTCGAAATGAGTCCAATATTGAATAGTTTTTGATTTAATTATATTATTATATATTATATATACCGTGAATTTTTTTTTAATATTTACGATTTATACTTTTATAGTTATTTATTCATATATATACTATATATTTTGGGGTTAGGCTGTTCAAATTGCACTGTATAATATGTTCTGAATTAATATGTTCTTGGGTTTTTTTGAAATATATATACATGTATTAATTAAACCTTAATCTGAGTTTTTGGACAAGAAAGAGGGTACACAGTTGAAATTTCATTCTAAAACCCATCTTTTTTGGTCCTTTCATGACTTATGATCTGTCAAATTTGTAATTTTCTTTATTGGTTTTGAGTGTTTATCTTAAAACTCAAGTTTCTTGGTTCTTTGCTCTTGGTGTAAATCGAACACATTTGTGGAGTCATTTAAATATGTTGGATTTTAAATATATTGGATTTTAAACTGTCATACAATTTTTTTCATCGATAGTCTGTAATTGGAACCATAACTCTTATTTATTCAAATTGTGTTAATATGTAAAGACCAAGTGTAACGTATATCATCGTTAAATCTTATTTTATAAAACCAGTGAAACTTCAAAATCGTTAAAATTCATAGTTCCCGCCGCATTGCGCGGGTACACAACTAGTATATATATATATATATATATATATATATATATAGATATATATATATAGGGGCCTAATCAAATGAGAACTAATTAGTTTGTGGTAACTGTGAGAACCAATATTAACCACAAATCAATAGATAAATTAGGAAATTTGTAATTTTGGCAATTTTGAATTAAAATATTAATGCAAGGATATTTTTTGTATTTTAAAACTTTCCTCCCTCCTCTCTTCTCTCTCCGGCCACCGTCCTCCGGCCACCGTCCTTCGGTGATACTAATGGTATCACAATGCATCATATATGTGCTTGGGTATCACATTGATGTCGTTTGTGTGGTCGATCGAAGATGTAACACAGTGATATCACTATGCATCTTATATATGATTAGGTATCACAATGTATTTTTTGTTTAACAAAGTCAATATTTTTAGGTATCACAGAGGTATCATAGTGGTATCACCGGAGGACGGTGGCCGGAGGCCGGAGAACGGTGGCCGGAGAGAGAAGAGAGAAGAGAGGAGAGTTTTAAAATACCAAAAATATCCATGCATTAAGATTTTAATTTAAAATTACAAAATTTATAAATTTCCTAATTTATCTATTGATTTGTGGTTAATATTGGTTCTCACAGTTACCACAAACAACTCAGTTTTCTCTTGAATAGGCCTATATATATATATATATATATATATATATATAAATAAGAAATGGACACTTTAGCCTTCAACCATTAGTCATTACTCCTTAGTTATTGTTTCTTTGAAATCAACAATCTTGAATAGATGCTATACAACCAATTTTGAGAAATTCTCAAACACTGAATTATGATTTGATTTTGATATCTCACATTTGTGATAGAGTTGAAAAATTAGAACAAAAGAGATGGTTATTTAATAGAGTAAACCATGAATTTACAAATTAAATAAGCGGGTTGGTTAAATATGTATTTTAGCCGATCATTAATCTAAAAAATATCTATATTTCTATAACAAGATATTAACTAAATAAATTATAATTTTTATCTATGCATCTAGATTAAGGGACCGTTTACCAAATGCTTACCCGAGTAAGCGCTTACCAAATCACATTACATTATCGGATGAATATGATAACGACCAAGAATCAGGGTCAGTCCTGAGATTTTTGGTGCCCACGGCGAAAAGTCCAAATGATGCCCAATTAAAAACATCCAAGTGCGGTAATTTACAATTGTCTAGCTTTTTCTTTCATAGACCGAAAGACCCATTAGTGTTTTTTTGTTCATAAGTGTGATCTTATAGTTGAGTGTTTGTTTTAAAATAATATGTTAAGGTTTCTTTAATCAAGTTGTTATAGCCTTTGCGTTCAAACACCAACTCATCTACTTGTCCAAAACCAAAATAAGGAGCATCATAACACTAACTCGTCTACTTGTCCCATTTACTACATCCCACGTCTTCTATATAAAGCAAATTCAACACTCGTACTTTCTCAATCCAACTCCAAACACTTAATTGGTTGGTTCTTCTTCAATTATTTACACTCTACAACATCAATGGCTCATTCCTCCTTCACTAATTTTGTCCTCCTAGTTTTAGTCACTTAAGGTATTTGCCTATGAGATTAGCTATTGCATGACTCCGTTAGTCCATCATGTATAATCATATATAGGGTCTTGACCAATGACAATCATGAGTTTCATATGTAAAATTGCAAAGTTAAGGGAGAACAGTCAAGTGAATTAGCTACTACACATTCAAGTGAGGGCAAATCATCACTTAACTACTGCACATTTATAGGTTTGTTCAACTATATTATACCTAGTGATTTCACAGCCCTAATTTCTAATTTCTAAACAGCCCTAATTTATAAACAATTAGTGAAAGTGACCAATTTCACACTTCTGTTCATTATTTATTAGGTTTTGCAATGCAATCGAACAAGAATTAAGAAAATTAAAACATAAAATAAGTAAAGTAAATAAGTAATAAAAATATAAAATAACCCTAAGTTAAGTTTCTTAGTTTCCCTAACCTCACACAAACAACAGTAGACAGTCTTTCGCTCTTTCTAGTGTTCTGTAGGGCAGAGAGAGCGAGATAGCGAGCCGAGAGGCAGAGGAGAGGCGCATAGGCGCAAGCCCGCAGAGAGCGACGACAGACCGTCACAGTCTCACAAACGTCGGCAGGTAGCTGCAGACCGACACGAGAGAGAGGCAGTCAGGCAGAGAGAGCGAGAGCGAGAGGGTTTGCCGTTTGAATTTGCAATTGCGATTGCGATTGAGA